GTCTGGTGTTTAATGTTTTGCACTGAGCCACTTTGTGGACTTCACTTCTTCTTATAAGCAATAACGTCTTATATTTATACTTTTAACCTCTTATGGCTCTATCTTATGTTCGCTTCTTACATTATATATCTTATGTCTAATTTTCAGTATTCAGGGAAAAATAACTGAAAAATTATCAAATCTGTGGTGAGACAATTAATTTTACTAAGCCACTTTACGTTTATATCTTTGTCTCCTATAATGGCTGTCGTGAGAAAATAGGCTTTACATGGGAACTAAAATCTAATCTTCTGTATTTTATTACAAATATAAATAAAGAATTGTAGGCAAAATGGGACGTGCTATTTAATAGCCGGGCTTGTATCTTTGTAAAGATTGCAATTATTTTTGCTTAATTCTTTCAGTCAAATATCGACTAAAATCCTTTTTACGAAAATATTTTTCATATAAACCAACCTTCTTGTAAATAAATATTATCTATGTTGCACTTTTCGTTACGCATTTTTCGTTACACTTTTCTAAGACAATTTGTTTCCTTCCTACTTTGTTTCTCTAGTTTAACTAACACTAGAAAGAAACAAAATTTCGAAAATATTTCGTACAACTTACTCTCTATTACTTTATAGTACAACTTTTACGGTAACAAAATCTTAGATAGAAAGCTGAACTCACACATCTTTATATCTCTACTATTCCCCAAATCAATTCTGAGAATAAATCAAACCCCGAAATATGCTCTTTGCACGCAGTACTGCAACAGACTAATAAATTTATTATTATTATTATTATTATTATTATTATTAATTTCACCAGAGAAATAAATTCTAAGACCAAGCTCTTAAAAGCGCTAGCATCTAAGTCTATCGGCTTTTATTAAAAACTCTACCGCACTTGAGATTCGAACCATCGACCATTGACTTGCTAGTCGAGATTGCTCGCCTTCGGTTACTCAGGCGGATTAATAAATTTAAATCTCTATCGATAGGAGATATCGTTTTGGTGTTTTGACATAGATACCAAAAAGTATTGCTTAACAGCTCAGTGCCAAAATGGACTACGTCATTCTGCTTACACCTCCATGAGTGGGTACCCATTCAACAACAAACTATAGAATGTGGGAGTAAAGCTTCAATACAATTTGTCAGATATTTTGCTTGCGCAGTATAATTCAATATGCATTTTTTGAATATGAACTGATCGGATCGAATCTTAGCTGTATTTACGATAGAGCATGTTTTATGTTAATTTGTTAAGGAAACAAAAGAAAAAAACTTATAGGAAGCGAAATAATTCTACGGTTTTTAGACTTCTGCAATTTTCAGAACATATATACGCCTTGATTGACACGAGTAAAACCGATAGGATTTTACGAAGCAGCTGTTGTTCTATATTATTTCCTTCAACCGTTTGAGTACCAAGCAGCGCGATCGCGCTGTTCAGATTTTATGTCGAGAAATACCAAGCGACGCCATAGCGCTTGTTTAATTTTATGTATTTAAATGCATTTAAATTGTTTGTTAATAAATATTTCAAGTTTGTTCCACAAGAATTATAGAAAACACAACACCAAAATAGAAATTTTTATTATGTAATATATTATTGCACTTCTATAATACTATTGTAATTGTATTGCGTTCGACTTCGACAATACGTAAGGCACCGCCAGTTGTCGGCAATGCTCGAAATGTGCTGGGTTTTCTCGACATAAAATCTAAACAGCGCGATCGCGCTGCTTGGGATTTTTCGACAGTGTTTTTTCCAAACCGTCTGGTACTCAAACGGTTAAATTATTATGCGCTCCTCCATTGACGGCTTATTAAAGCCAATTTTCTTCTTTTTTTTTCAATGACTTACACCATAGCCTTAAAATTTCTTGTTTTGTTTGTATTATATTTTGTTTCTCGAAAATAATTACTTTAAAACTTATAATAATTATTGTTGGAAATTTCTCATTGAAATTAAAAAGTTTCGTTATTTTGTGGAAAAAAAAATTGAAAAGATTTTTTAATTAACTAGAGAATGTATTTTTGTAATAGTTTCCTTGGTTCTTCTTGCTGAAAGCCGCAAGAAAAAGGTTTTTATATATTAAAAAAAAAAGAGACTTAATTATATAGTTTTTCTTTTTTTTTTTTTGCTTTTTCCCTTTTTCGTTTTTCACATTTCTTAGGGTCACTGTGTTTTTATGTTAATCACATTTAATGCCTTACCTTACTACCGTTCTAGTTTTTTTTCGTTGCTGTGGTTCTTTTTTTTCTCTTCTTTTTCTCTATTAAAACCGCAACAAGAAAAAATCAAGTCAAATGTCTTTCATAATTCTATCAAAGTTATCCGATATGCAGTTTATTCGCCAAGGGGCAAAGGACACATTAAGTAAATTAAACCACAAAAATAAAGTTAAAAGGTCAGCTAACTTCATTGGACTTACAAGAGAGTGTATGGCATATAAGGAGATATTTAATTTTTTTTTTTTTAATTTTTTTAATAGATCGCCATTTAGCTAAAATTTTTTTCTTATTTCTTTAAGGCAGATTTTAAGTAAATTTTTAGGAAGATTGTTATTTGGATAATCGAATAATATGTTATCTTTTCCTTGTCAGGAAACGTTTCCAACTTTTTGGGGTAAGACAGAAGAAGAAGACGTAGATGTATAATTAGCAAAGGAAACTCTGTAGTTCACTTAAGTAAAAATTAACAGAGAAATAAATTGGACTTACGTGTGCAAAAGAATAGCTTGCTTTTATTGCTTTTCAAGATAGACAGCCTCTGGAGGTAAGCTTATATGCCCGCTCGAATGGTATTTCATTGCACATATTCGTAGATTCAAGATAGTTCAGCTTAAGATTCTGTACCAGAGGGTTAGAAAAATGTATCACACATATCTAGCTTTTAAATTGAAGCTTAAAAACACCCCACAGTCTTGCTCTCATGTAGCGCCGTAGCGTTCGTCAAGATTGTGTTTGAAAGTCTTTCAACAAATTAAAGGTACAGAGTCGACAAATCAGTGTAAATGAATACATAAACCGTGAATTGACAATATACATACTTATACACTAATCAATAAGTACTGGGACTGTGTAAGGAACAAAGCATTTTTTCTTTCAAAATTACACCAATACAACGGTTTCTCAACTTTTTCATGCTCTCTTCGCAGAATGCTTCGTCATACTCCTCGAAATGTATTTCAAATTCCACAAGGATTTCATCACTTGATTCAAATCTCTCTTCTTGAAGCAACCTTTGGTGGTTTGCGCAGAAATAACAATCGCTGGGTACGAAATTTCAAGGCCACCGCCCCTTATAGCAAGTCGTACTTCAATTCGAGCAAATTTGTCATTTCTGCGGGTAAAAATGGCGCTCAGTTGGAAAATAGTTTTCTCACCCTCAACTCCCCGCCTTTCATATTACGATAATGCAGATTTCTTTTGTTATTGACTATTTGGTCTACACAGGAAACTCGGTTTTTTCTCTTGCTTTGAATCGACCACAAGTGGTATCACCGTAGATCCATCGTAGGTCGCAAACAAATGCCGTGGAAATTCGGAAATGATTGGGAAAGTTCTAAAGATAGTGCGGAGCTTTTCCTAGAAACGACGGAAATTATTGAGCGACATCTCAGCCCTGTCAAATAGTGCTTAGTAGTTCTTTCATAGCGGTAGGTCTCAATTAAAAAAAAAAAAAATATATATATAAATTGTATATAGATAAATAAACAAATGAAATTAACTGAAATCGCGCTTTTATTGAGTTCAGTGGTTTCGAAAACTTTCGTACGTTCAGCTGAAATCATGCAAAAAAATACGACTTCGCCGTAGAGATGGTATTGAATGAAATCAATGAAAAATCGTAATTTCAATGAATTTATGAATTTATGGGCATACAGTTTATCAAAACAGAAAGACAGGGTTTCTTTATCTGCTCTTGTGATGACACATGATCGATATACTTTTCGCATTTAAACAGTTCTTACTAAACACAACTCACATGTGTATATACGACGAACTTAACCGTTTAATGATTTGCATGAACTGAAATGAAGTGACTTAAGAAAATCAACGATAACACTATCGCTCACTCAATTGGGAGACAGTAGACATACTAAAAAACAGTTTACAAGTCTATAAGCAATAGTAACGAATGGGTTTCCGAAGGTACACACATTTTAATATTTGTTCCTTTGTTTCTCCAAATAAAATTACTTAATTCTTGATGAGACCATTTTCCTTCTAAATAAAACTAATACTCGCTTCTCCTCCAATAGCATTGGCAAGGAAAGCGCCATCAAGGTAATCGTGTAAATCAGTTAGTTATCAGTACCTGGCCGGGCTCTTATCAGTTGAAGCCAGCATTTTGAATAAAATAGATTCCGTTATTTCATTGCGAACTGAACTGCCGTGCTATTCGACAAACTAGAACAAAGCTAATCAATAAGGAACTAATTGATTCGGAAGAAAATATCATTGGAGGGCTTGAAATAAATTGGAACAAATTCAAATATGAAGTACAGTTTGCAATTTAAGCGGAAGGGCCTTTGGTTTAACAAATTGACTAAGAATTGCGCGACTGAGCTTGCAAACAACATTCAAATTAACCGACTAAGTCAAGCGAATGAGCTTCGGCACAACGACAGACACAAAAAAGACGCGCTTACTTTTACACAAAAATTTAAAAGTTCAAGTTCCAAACTTTAAGGATTTGCCGTCTTAAAGAAAGGGGAAGACTTTTGGTAAATGTTGATAGGGCCATGCGGGAGTTTTGCAAAGCTTGTGAACTTAACAATGCGAGAATTTCACGTTGGATAAATACTTTTTCTAATCAGGAATTTAAGATCGTGATCACAATATCACAAGCTGGACGTGGACATAGTTCAAGCAAAGAACACTTTTTGTAAAAGAATTTGGATTTCTATCTAGATAGTGTGGAAAAATTTAAAGCAAAGTAATTTTGGTAATTTTTTTATTTAACACTTTATCACTTTTTTCAATTTTTTTTTTTTTTTACAGAACTACCCGACAAACGTCCTCAACTTTTCACGGAACATACGCGTTATGAACCTGGTGATGTGCTAAGAGCCAATTGCAGTACACCACCATCCCGTCCGCGAGCTGAACTTAAATTTACCATTAATAATATGGTGGTAAGTAACAATAAGAATATTTTTACAATTCTTTGCTCCTTTTTTCTTTTTTTCTTCTTTTGCTGTTATGGCCTAAAGGAAACTAGCATTCATAAGAGAAAACAAAAGCAAAAAATTTTCTAGATAACCAAGGTTGCTATACATATATATATATATATATATATATATATATATATATTGTATAACTAAAATTGAGTGTAACAAATTAACCTAATTTGTGAACTCGTCTGAATTCAAACGATAAACTAGAAATTTTTACTTTTTCTTATGGTTTTATTCAGAAAGTCGGCCCATTTACCAATGTTGCAATACATAGGATTGTTTTTGTTTTCAATTTGTTTTTTTCATGTAGATGAGTTTACGTGGATGCACTGCATTCAACATTTTAAAAAATAAAGAAAAAAGAGAGTGTTGAATGAAAATTGAATCGAGAGTGAATGCTTGCTTTTTTAAGCTTTAACAAATACGGTTCGTTCGCTTAGTAGGTGAATGAAAGGCGAGAAAGTAAGCAAAAAAAAAAAAAAAAAAAAAAAACTAGATTACTATAAAAGCTAAAAAGTGAACTGAACACGGAGTGTATTACAGATATATATACATATATATATATATATATATATATTTTTATATATTTATATAGATTTATATATACATTTATATATATATATATATATATATATTAGTAGGTCAGTTTTAATATAAATAATTTTTTCTTAAAAAATGTAACTTTACGTTTATTCTATTCAGTTATACATATAATTTCTATTCCTGTTTTTTTTTTTTTTTTGCTGTTCATCAGCACTACTACTATTTAACTTAGTCTCAGTTTATTTACTAGAGTTGTATAATATTAGTAAAAAAAAGAGGAAAGAAAAAGGGTTTATACTGCCTGAGGATAACAGTTCATCGGCTTTTGTTAACTTTTTTCCTACATTCATAACGAGCTTAACAATAGTTACTGCATCCATGATAGCGATGTAGGCGTAGCATGGATTCACGGATAACTAACCGACTAACTGTATCAACTATAAACAAACTCTTAGTTCTAAGTTGAGATTTCGTTCGTTGTATGGCTAGAGTAAGGGGGGAAAAAATTGTTTTTTGCGTTAGGCGAACTTTTTTATGAGTTATCATCATTACTTAGTTATCGTCAACATTACAAATGATATTTGATGTTTGTGTTGTTTAGTAGTTTTTGCTGTTGCTGTTGCTGTTTTTCCTTTTCTTTTTTCTATTATTATTATTTCTCTGCTCATGCAGAAACTACTTTACATTGTTCCCAAGAAAAAAAAAAAAAAGAAAAAAAATCAATTTCTAGTATTTCTCTCATATCGTTATCTGACTGTTCTTTCCATTCACGGCAACTTGAAATGATAATGAAGTATAGTATAGTTGAGGTGAACATTTCGTATACCTGTGTGGGTTCATAGTGACTTAAATATTTAAACTTTTTGAAAATGATGTAAAAATTATTTGGCCTGTACGAAGGAAGGAGAACTACTTTCCAGTCAATCGAGGAAAATAAATAACAGAAATCACAAACGAGTCTATAAAGTACATCTTTTAGCAGACTCAAGTAGCATAAGGCATTGGTTATGCCATTTGATTAGTATCTTTTCAAAAGCGAGGTACAATTTAAGCTGCTTATAACGATGTTTATTGCCTACCTTCCGGCGGGTTACAAATAAAATATTGAAAAGTTCGATTTTGCTTTCTTTTTTCTTTTTTTTTTGCTATAAGTATCATCCACATGCCAATGCAGTTTTTCGTTTTAGAATCACTTAATTCTAAGTTGGTAGGATAGTTAAAGATTTAGAATTATCCTTCTTTTTACCTGCGCGTATATTGTTGATTAGCCACTCCGGGGATATCCTTTAAGCATGTAGGAACAATTGAAAATGAAGAAGAAGAAAGGGTCAAGGCTCAAACTCTCAGTACATATTTGACTTGGAAGTTTGGAAAAAGTCACTAAACGTTAAATACTCTCGGAGGCTTGCTTGCGAAGTAACTAATTTTAAGTGACTGTTATTAGGCGATAAACTTAATCATTTTCATTGCCAACTTCTAAGCGTTTCAATAAGAGGACAAGAGAACTAGCTTTCGGTATCAAAAGGGTTGCTATTTTTTTATTCTTCTTCTGAGCCATAAATATGTTTGTTTTTCAGTTCTTACAATATGTGGCTTTCTTTTCCCTTAATAGTGAAAGTAACTTGAGGGTCAATATCTAGGGCTTACCGACTTAATTCACTTAACAATGATTTTCAATAAAGAATCTTCAAGATATAAATCACATGAAATGCACTTAGTAGTGATTTCTTATATTTTCAACACAACTATGATCACTATTTTATAAGTTGTAGCAATATGAGTGTCTGCGAGTACTGTTTATATATGGCTTGTATTTTTAACCTATTACCACTAAAGAGTCTAACATATTTTTTTTTTACCAAATGGTAAAGGACAAGTGCTTCAAGTGTCCTATTATGGTATAACAACGAGTCCCTAACGCAACTTAATTCGCAATGACAACGCTTCTAGTGAAACAAGCTGGAAAGCTAAAGCAATGTTTACGGTTATGGTGGTCAATGGGCGGTAGTATGCAGGCTTATGTTAGTATAGCGCATATTTTTCTTGAGAGCTATTTTCTTTTTCTCTTTATATATATATTATTGTGTATATTAACGATTGTATGTACGTTTGATGTGTGTAATATACATGAAATAGTAAAGGTTAGTGCATTTAAGTATGTGTATAGGTCGCACTTAAACGCGTTTCGACGCCTTTAGTTGGTTGGCTGTTTGGTTGACTAGGTGACTGCTATTATCTGCTTGTATGGCCAAAACCATTCTATTGTTATTGTATTTTGGCTTTGTCTGTCACTGTAGTCATCTACTACCTAAACCAAATGCTGTACTGTCAGTTACGGGCTTCTTACTGTTGCTGTTAGCTATGGTATGTGCGAACACGTCAAGAAGTACGGAATGCTAGAGAAAAAACCGAAGATGGGGAAGATGCATGCATGCAATGCAGAGTTCACAAGGTAATGGCTAACACTTTATGTTATCCTTGAGAATCACATTGTTTGGCATGCACGATATGCTGGCATGTTCGCTCCACACTAGTGCTGCGTAACGTTCTGCTAGGCAAAGCTATTGTAGACTGTTCGGTTTAGTGCTTAGGTTACTATAAGTACGTAGGTGTATTGAAGAAGATGTGTTGTTGCACTGTGTCACCTTTAAATAATGTCTCTTGACGCTTTTCAACACAAATCGCATGTGAAAAGTGCTTCACACATGAAGTGCCTGGTTTTATTTTTTCTTCTTGCTTTTTTTTTCTTTTTTTTTTTTTCTAGTAGTCATTCAGATGAAAATGAAAATAACAGAAAAAATTGTTGCTTAGTAATCCCAGCATGCACATATAAACAGAAAATTTATGCAAAGCAAATACACGTTTACTGGGTTCACTACATAGAACGAGGGAGAGAGAGAGAGAGAGAGAGAGAGAGAGAGAGAGAGAAAAGATAGGCTTACAGCTTAGTTCGTCAGCGAGGTCTGCCTTATTTTATTCCATAGCATTTGTTAGCGAAAGCGTTTATCTGCATTGTAAGGCATTCGCTCTTGTTGCCGGCAGTTAAATGCAGATACTCCTTAGGCTCTGTGCACACATACGAGGAGAGTTCTTTAATCATGATTTGTTGTAATCTGTTTTTACCGTGTATACTCATAAAATTTTACCACTTATTTTTTTTTCCCGTTTTTTTTTATTATATTTTTATTTTATCTCTTTTGTTGTGCTCGCTTCTGTTCTTTACACAGAGTTGATATGACACGAAGGCCATGTTCTAGGCTGAGATAATATTACAAATGGTTGTGAGTATCATTTGCTGTTGGTTTACATATAAATAGATACTTGAATTTTCGCGATTATATGTTAAGGTCGCGCTTTATTTAAGATTTTAAAAGAACCTTAAAAATGGAAGAGATTTTCATGCAAAATTGAAAACAACTTAAATATTGACATTGTTGTTATTAAAGCAAGGTTAATAACTGTTAAGTGACGCATATGTGGTAGTAAAATTAATTTAAGAGTTTTGAGAAATTCTGTAAAGATTGTTCAGATGCTAATTAGCATTGCTGTCATAAATGTCACTCGTATGTCACGTTATGTGAAACGGAGCATCGTTCAACGTTGCGCTAACATACGAAGCTAAGCGCTTTGCATAACGTTTTAGAAATTTTTTACTTTGTTCACAAGCAAGTTTAGAAAAGAAGGAAAGGAGATAGAAGATCATTCAAAAAAAGTAGAAGGCTCTGTACAAATTATTTTCGAAACACATAACAACACCACTTGCCATAAAACTTTTTTATAATCCGCCTTCAGCACTAGAGTGCACTATCAACCGGTTTAGTTCACTTACTTTCTTTAAGGGATTTGCGACCTTAGGTTTCTTTCCAAACAAAAGGAGTCGATTTTCTAAACGTGACATGTAAAGAAGAAGTGAAGCCGATTCCGAGAGAGCTGGACGATCGCGTGCCACAATATCTTAATAACGTGAACTCTTCAGCTTTTGGTAAGGAAAGTTAAAAAGCGCGTCTTCAAATGAAGAAATGTACAATAAAATTTGCAATCGAATGGACAAGAGGCATTTTGGACGGTAAAGTCAAAATTAATGCGCAGTTGAATTCAAAATAAAAGATGAATAAGCGTCGTGCAGCGTGACCTGTTGATTGATTCGAACCTGCAATAATAAGGCTTCGATTTACATTCAAAAAGGATGGCTACCTGGCAATAGAAAGCCCTTTGAAAATCTGGTCCGCAACGTCACATGATCGATGTAATGGTCAATAGCATAAATATATAAAAAGTAAAACGGGCGGTTCTGTAGTAAAAAATGAAGTTCGATGTAAGTAGCAAAAAACTTGAGCTGGCGTTTATTTAACGAGCATCAAATTATTTTCCGTTGGTTCAGGAACTTACAACTTTGCATTTCTCGATTTGACTTC